TAACCGCTGCACCAATTTCTTCCAAACTTGGCACAGTTGTTGGCCTTGGCACAGCATAAAAAACCGCCGAAACTTTTTGAAATCGGACAATAACCACGCCCACATCCCATATAACGGTAATTTAGATAAATACAAAATCTTCGATAAATCATTAAATATTGAAGCTAATTTATTCAAAATTGATCCTTGCAACAATTCTTTACCAAGAAATACGTTTATGGTAAAATTTTGGAAAATGGGCGTGGCACCGCCCACTTATGATCACATATAAGTATATCGGTAACCGTTCTACCAATTTGTACCAAACTCGGTATGGTTATTGTACTTGCCACGTGTAAGCAAAACGTTGAAAATTATTGAAATCGGACTAAAATAACGGCCGATTCTCATATAACGGTAAATTTAAGAAATGCTTGAAACTTCAATATTTCGAAATTGAAGGACGCTAATTTACTCAAAATTGATACACCTCGGCTTACCGTCTAGCGGAAGGTTTCGGAAGGGTGAAAAAACATATATTTAATACTTGCGCCGGGTATTTAACGTTCGGCTCCGCCCGAACTTAGACTTTCTTACTTGTTTTAATTAAAAAGAATTAAATTTAACCAATGAAAAAACAACTTGCAGCCCATTAAATTTTAGTATAATAAGCGTAAATTTCAAGTAGCTAGTGCTTACCGTTGATTTTTGACATTTTTTTGTAGAATGTTTCGTCGAACACACTTTGTATGGAAGAAAATAGGCTACAAAGTTGTGTTTTATTTGTTATATTTATTTTTCATACACAATATTTGTTTTTGCGAACAATAACTAAAAAATGAAGAAAGGGGAGGGAGCTAAGATTTTGCTACAATAATTATTTTGTGACCGACAACAAAATTTTTGTATGGGAAAGAAAAAAAAATAAACTTTCGTTTTTTTACGCAGTCTATTGCACGTAAATACGTACCAAATACCTTCAAAATTTCATATGATGTAACCGTTTTCAATGTCGAGAGAATAATTGCCGCACCACTTACAATAATAAAAAATAATAATAATTGGTGCTAGAGGTTAAGCATCAGCGTAACGCCTACGCAAGAAATGAAGGATGAACACCAAAATAAAACTGTACTGATGGGTACACGTACTATGCGTATTTACATACATAAATGAACAAGAAAATTAAGCCAAAAAATATGCAAATTAAGAGGCCTGAGTACTGTAAGCTCATCAGATCTAGCCGAATAAAACTACACTAGGCGCTACACTAAGTTACAAAATAAAAAATGTTAATTACTATGTCAAAAAATGAAGGCCCTGTATGCATGGCCTGGAAAATGTATTACTTAATTGGAAGTATGTAATCAGTGGTTTTGGGAGGCTAAGCTCGGGTTTAGTAATTTTTTTTTTTAATATAGCTATGCGTGAACCACTCATATTCTCTAATTTTTTTTAGTGAGTAGTTTTCAGAATTGTCTAGGCTCATATGAGGAAAATAGTTATAATTCACATAAAATAATATTGGCATTTGTTTGGGCCATTCAGTAGTCTTAAGTTGACTACTTTGGATACCAAGTTGCTAACTAGTTTATACTCAATCAATCCGCACTTAAGTTTGAATACAGTTTTTCGTGAGAAGGTCCTTCTGAAAGCCACTTAAAATGCTCCATTTATTCAGAGATTTTCGACTCTTTTCATAGCCAATAAAAGTACATAGTCAGCAATTAGAAATAAAGCATGTACTTCCTTTGCAAATAGAAGAATCATAAATAAAATACAAGTAATTAAAAGAAAACAACCGACTTCAATTATGCGCGCGTATTGTTTATGTGTGTCAGAGCAAAAATCAAAAAGTTGCGTTATTTTTTCAATGGTGCAATCATCAGAACTGGGCAAAATTCTAAGTGCCAACTTTAAGACTACACCTTTAAAATAAAAAGGAATCATTGAAATCGGTTCACATAGTCCCAGTTATCATTTAAAGTAACCAAGTGAAATAACAATAAAAAATATGTTTAAGACTTTTATGTTTTTTTTGCCATTGCTGTCTGAAAGCGTATTTTTGCACCAAAGAAATCTAAAAACAATATACGTATGTATGTACATACGCATATATTGTAAGTACGCAAACAACTGTATGGCGCAAATATAAAATACCGAAAAAAATAAATGAAGACCCAACAAATTTGTTCTATTTTGTTGTTTTCGTAACTCAGCAATCCTGCGCCCGCTTCTCCCCTCCACTTTCAACGCCAGCGCTCACTGACCTTGCGCAATAATATAATTTTGAGTCATTTTAGGCACTAAAAATACGTATTGTAATTATCGCGACTGCATTCAATGAACGCGTATTCAAACGCAGAGAAACTGAGTTGTTTGCGATAAAGGAATGAGCGCATGTGTGGTATGTTGAGACGTACATATGTATGTATGTACATATCGTTGATGAAATGTAGAAAGGCACTAACTGGAATATTTTTTAAAAATCATTTTTTTGCATTTTGAGTGGATTATACTAAAACACATCTTCCTTAAAAATTTTAGAGCCGTAATTTAAACCCGAATGACCATATGACATAGGTTTGTGTATAAGTGCATTACAATTTTTTGTCTGCTACATCTGGGTGGGGTTAATGGGTTGTTCAAAGCCGACTGTGACTGTAAGGCAGTATGCACACGGGTCGTAGACGCATAGTAAATTTTTTTCATGCAACGACGATTCCTCTGCAAAAATTTCTAATGATGAAAAAGTCTTAAATTTTCAATTACTTACGCATACTGGTGCGAAATAAAGTCAATTGACATTGTTACCTTTTTAAAAGCGAAATAAAGTCAACAAAAAATTGGAAATAAAGTAAATGATGCTATTTCCTCATTCAAATGGAAATAGCGTCAACAATTCTTAAAGTATGTCGATTCAAAGAAAAAAAATGTTTTTCTTGCATCGTATGTGAGACACGCTGCGAAAAACCAAATGCAAACAGAGCTGGATTACGAGAAATATTTGAAGTAGGAATGTAGAAATGATCCAAAACTTTGCAAAACATGTTTCGTTTCCACAAAAATAAACACTATTAAATTGAAGAAACAGTGGATTGCCGCCATGTCCAAAAACCCGGAGAAACACTGAAAGAATTGTGTTGTTAAATGAGCATATTTTGAACAAATTCGGAATTTCTAAGGTGGAAAAGAAACCAACCTTTCTATAAGGAAACAATTATAGAAAAGGATTTTCTAACACTGCATTCACGTCGCCGCCAACAATTTGTGACATCATTTAAAAGCAGCTAAGGAGAACGACGACACTATTTATTTGCTGACGCATTCAAGTCAGTGTGCCAAAACGCGGGTATAAACATTTATTGATCATTTAATATCGGAACGTAAGTTGGTTGATTGGTTTTCACACACTTTTGAAACACAAATTATATGCTTCTTTACTCCAGTTAAGATAAAATATCGAGGCTTATATTCAGTAGTACCCTCTATCTGCAATTTTCAAAAAAACTACTTTGGGAATTAAGAACCCAGCTGGGACTTATTGCCTATCACCCTTATATCACTAAAACCCTGTTTACAATATTAGTTAGACCGATTCTGGAATACGGT